GTAATCACATATGCCTGTTTCAGCGGTGAGCAAATGTTATCCACGTGAAGCGACGGGGAAGCTTCATGATAACATGCCAACCACTGTTACACTAACACACACAAAGCTTAGCCGGAGCACAAGCTGAGTGCGCAATAAACCGTGTGAATAAACGGCAAAAACTTCTGAGCAAGAGTTATAATCTTGTAGCCCTCGAAAAAAACTTTTTGATCTTGTTTTAAGAATGTAATACTAGACCAGATTCATTCATTTCCCTTTGGCTTAGTTTCTTATTTATCAGGAGTCGCCCCAGCGCAATGAACCACCAACTATTCCAGTATGTGTTTTATGCAGTGGATGCCCTTCCAGCCACAACCCAGTACTAGGAAACTCTCATACACACACACACACACACACACACATACACACACACACACACACACACACACACACACATATCACAGACACGTAGCGCAGACACACACACACACATAGCGTAGACACGCAGACACACACACACACACACACACACACACACACATTACATAGTGTATTGTGTGTATCTGTGTGTGGCCTATTAGTTGTGTGTTGAATGTAATCCATTTGTAAATGTGTGTAATTGTGTCATGGAATGGAGTCAGTGTTGTTAAAAGAATCTACACGATACAGAGTGTGTGATGTGTCTGTGATATGTGTGTGTGTGTGTGTGTGTGTGTGTGTGTGTGTGTGTGTGTGATTAACCCCCCCTATCCCTCTCTTTTTCTGTGATTTATTTTTCCCAGGCTAATATGAGGACGCCTCTGCTCTGCTGAAGGACCTCTGGATTGCACAGATTTACAGTACAGAAGTAGCTCTCTCAGCTCAGCATGCGCTAATCCCAACCGTAGCGTAGCAAGAAAGCGTTTAAAGCCGAGCGATGGCGTCCGACGTGCCACACCGTCAGATTGTCCCAAACCGGAGGAAACTCAGGCCCGCACGGGTTCTCGGACTCCTCCTCAGTCTTATAGCAATAAGTGCGGTTGCCTTAACATGGCGCTCTACCGAACAGTGGGAGGAGCTACAGAGCCACGCCCCCCACAGGACACTGCTGTCCACACACCAGGGTTACCATAGCAACGTCTCTGAGGACACGCCCATTGCCATGCGCTCATCCGCAGGGTCAAATGAGAGTCAAGGAGACTATCCGACTGATCTGTTCAGCCTTGAGGACCGAAGGCGCGGGGCGGTTTTATTGCACATGTTCGGCATGCTGTATATGTTCATTGCGCTCGCCATCGTATGCGATGAGTTCTTCGTCCCAGCGCTCACGGTGATCACGGAAAAACTTACGATTTCGGACGATGTGGCGGGTGCTACCTTCATGGCGGCTGGAGGATCGGCTCCTGAACTGTTCACTTCAGTCATCGGGGTGTTTATTTCCCACAGTAACGTCGGCATCGGGACCATCGTAGGCTCCGCCGTGTTCAACATTTTGTTCGTCATCGGGATGTGCGCTTTGTTTTCCAAGGAGATCCTGAACCTGACGTGGTGGCCTCTGTTCAGGGACGTGTCTTTCTACATCATCGGCCTCATCATGCTCATCGTGTTCTTTCTGGATAACATCATCACGTACTGTGAGAGCATTAGCCTGCTGCTAGCCTACGCCGCCTACGTGCTCTTCATGAAGTTCAATGGGAATGTAGAGACTCTGGTTAAGAGGATGATGAACAGGAACCAGGTGGTGGAGGTGGAGGCCCAACCCAAGGTGAGTTGACAACATTTATTTCTTCGTATTCTTCGTACTGTTCAACCGTTGTAGACTTAGGCCCAATCCAAATTCTATTTATTCAAGTCACTAGACTTTTCTGACAGAGTATTCGAGTGTCATCGAGTGTCAGAATGTTGTGGGACTACTATACAGGAGTTGTAATTATGGTTTATAGGTCGCGAAATTTAGCAATACTGCCGTTGTGGCAGGTGTATTCTGGGAAATTTTCTTAACCCTTGGTTTCGAGTGTGGTCCTGAAAAAGGCACCACACCTCTTCCCCTTAGCCCTACACCTTCAAGCTTAAGAGAGTTAGGACATCCCTACCCCTTGACGTGAACGTGCAAAACGAGGGGTAGGGATAAGGGGAAGGGGTAGAACTGGGATTGGGCTTTAATGGACACACAATTGAATTGGGATTGGTTGAGGTAATGTTGACTCTGGTCTGATTTTCCCTTTGATTGTAGAGTGTAATTTCTTGTTAAGACTGCTGGAGTAATGGGATAAGTTGCACTTGCTTCGTTGGCTTCCCAAACTTAAAGATACAGAGACAAAATAATGTTTGGAGATGATCAATGATTCTTTTAACAACACAGCACTAATCTTCACACGACAAGGATGTACACTAGTCAACAGTAGGGCACGACCAGTTTTCCTCTGGCCTTTCTCATCTCAATTGAATTGGGATTAGGATTAATGTTCCCTCCGGTCTGATTGTAGAGGTGACTGGGTAATTTTTCCTCTGATGGTAGAGTGTGATTTTCTGTTAAGATTATTGGAGTAATGGGACACATTACAGCTCCTTCACTGCCTTCCCAATCCCAAAGATACCAAGAGGAACTAAGCTTTGCTGACTAGAATACAGAGAAATCCAAATCAATGATTCTTTTTAGCAAAACAGCGCTAACCTTAGACTACTTTCACATGACAAGGACTTTCTTCTGACAATTCAACATTTGTTGACTCAATGGACACACCACTGAATTGGGACGGGTTGAGGTAATGTTGACTCTGGTCTGATTGTCGAGGTCACAGGTAATTTTCCCTGTTAAGATTATTGGATTAATGGGACACATAACAGGTCCTTCACTGGCTTCCCAATCCCAAAGATGCAGACAAGAACTGATATTTGCTGAGTACAGGATTAATCAGAGAAATGCAATGAGGCACTAATCTTAGGCAAGGTTCATATGACAAGGATGTACAATAGCCAACCAAAGGTGTGTTGACAACATCTCTGTCTTATTTTGACCGTCTAAACTTTGTAGATTCAATGGACACAATTGAATTGGGATGGGTTCAGGTAATGTTGACTCTGGTCTGATTGTAGAGGTCACTGGGTACTTTTCACCTGTTAAGATTATTGGAGTAATGGGACACATTACATTTCCTTAACTGGCTTGTCAATTCCAAAGTTACAGAGATGAAATAAATGTCTGCAGAGCACATGATAAATCAGAGAAATACAAATCAATGATTCTTTTTAGCAATCCAGCACTAATCTTAGACTACTTTCACATGACAAGGATGTGTACAGGACTTTCTTCTGACAATTCAACATTTGTTGACTTAATGGACACACCACTGAATTGGGATGGGTTCAGGTAATGTTGACTCTGGTCTGATTGTAGAGGTTCTGAAAGATTCAAAGACGAACTAAAATTTGCTGAGCCCAGGACAAACAGAGAAATACAAATCAATGATTGTTTTTAGCAATACTAAATTCTGGAGGGTCGGTGTCCTGGGGAGCTTAGCTCGAACCGTCATTAAACACACCTGAACAAGCTAATCAAGATTTTACTAGGTGTACTAGAAACATCCTGGCAGGTGTGTTGAAGCAAGTTGCAGCTAAACTCTACAGGACACCAACCCTCCAGGATGAGTTTGAAAAGGGGTGGCAGAAAACAAGATGATGCTTAGAGGTCAAGTTTTAATCTTCTATTGGTCTTATCCAATCACATGATGGAAATTCAAAGAGTCCACCAAGCTTGAATTTTGGATACCAGCGACATGCAAAACTTTTCCAGTCTGGTGCATTCGTTAGATCTGGAAGAGATAAAAATATCTATAAAGAGGGCGTGAGTTCAGATCTAGCTCTAATCAAACACACAACAATTCTGAACACCTTTACTAGTTTATTTGCCTCTATCCGGTTAGGGTTAGCACTGAATTCAAAAGGACTTGAGTTGAGTTGCTCAGTACTGGTTCTACAGATCTACATTTCCAATCACATACAGCCAAACAAACTAGGTGTTCCGAATTGCTTGCAAATTTACATACAGATAGGTTAAAGCTATACTAAGAGCTAGCCCCAGATGGTGCCCTTAGTATGGCCTTGTTGGGTTGGGGCTTGTACAAGCTCATAAGCACATAATATTGGAGGAGTTTGCATCAAGCATGTTTATCACAATGCACACAACCCCCACCCCCATAACACCCAATCAGCATTTTCATAATAGTAAGCAAGTAATCAGTCTTCTCTTCAGACCTTCCTCAGAAGCAGTGTTTAAATATTATTACCATTAATAAATATGCTGGTAGCAGAACAACAGAGGACTGAAAGGTTATTATACTGTTCAGTCCTCAAGAGCTGGTTCATTTGGGTTTGATTGTGGTTGATGCTGAACTGTGCAGAAAGGTAGATCTCCAGGACCAGGACTCAAGTGCCCTTGAGTTCAGTGGTAACCCTAACTAGACAGACGCCAAATAAACTAGCAAAGGTGTTCAGAATTGCTTCGGAATGTACAGACGGATGGGTTGAAGCTATACTAAGAGCAAGTCCCAGATTGTGCCCTTTGCATGGCCTTGTTGGGTAGTGGCCAGTTGTAGCTTGTACAAGGTCATAATCCCCCACCTCCAAAACACACACGCAAACATTTGCATGAGACGTTAAACCAAGGTCCTGACTCTCTATGCTCATTTAATAATCTCATGGCACTTCTGGTAAAGAGTAGGGGTGTAACCCTGGTGTCCTGACCGAAGTCCCTCCATCAGCCCTTACCGATCATGGCCTCCCAATCATCCCCATCCACCGAATTGGCTCTATCACTGTCCCTCCAGTCCACCAACAGCTGGTGTGTGGTAAACACACTGGCGCCGTTGTCCTGTGGCTGCCGTCGCATCATCCAAATGGATGCTGCACACAAGCTATACCGAGAGCTTGTCCCAGATGGTGCCCTTCCTATGGCCTTGTTGGGTTGTGGCTTGTGCAAGGTCGTAAACTCTAAGATTAGGACATAATATAGTGGGAGTTTGATTCAGGCATGTTTCTCACAATGCACACAACCCCCAACACACACACACACACACACACACACACACACACACACACACACACACACACACACACACTATATATAAATCAAAATTACAGATTTAACCAATCACCAGTTGCATTTTCATAATAGTAAGCAAGCAATCAGTCCTCTCTTCAGACCTTGCTCACAAACAGCATTTAAATATCACCACTATTAATAAATATGCTGGTGGCAGAACAACAGAGGACAGGGATTGAAAGGGTATTATACTGTACAGTGGGATTTAGGAGAGGGCAGGTCAGGACCGAACAACCTGCATGGTCAAGAGAGTTGATGAGGATGATGAAGAGTGGTATATATTCCAAACACACAATATTGAGCCCTCAAATGTTGCCTGGCAACAGGTAGCTGTTGTCTTTACGGGATACATAAGCACATGCTCGTGCAAGAGCTTGAATACAGTCAGTTCTCCTTCAGTTCGCTGTGCTCTGCTTGTCCATCAAGGCATAAGCTCTTCATTTGGGATGCAGTAGTCATGGATGCAGCTGAAATAATCCTGCAGGCTTCATGCGGAGTAATCTATTTGTCTGAGGTACTGGCTTCGACTAGCAGTGGATGCACATATTTAACCTTGAGTCTAATCCCTAACCCTTTAGACCTGTTATGCAGAAATCACCTTCATGAGGGCAACAGTGAGTGAATATAGCCAGCTTCTAATGGTAAACATTGCATAATTGTATTTGTTATAATCAGACTTAATGAATGATACACTTTGATGGGCTTCCTCCCCTTGGGTGTGTCATCAGAGGAGAAAAGCCCCGCCCACTAGTCTCCCTCATTAGCATCTCCAGCAGCCCTGAGTGAGAAGCAGCCGTCTGTCCATTAGCCATTAGAGCGTTTGAGCTGCTGAAGATAATGTCAGCATAGCCTAAGAGGAGTATAGATGTGGAGTTTTAGATGAACAGAGACAGGAGCGACATTGACTTAAGCATCAAGCACACACTGACCAACGACAACATGCAGATCTGACCAGCACTGAGAACACAGCTAGTCCTGTTTTACATCTGCCACTATACTGACACACAAGCTTTTATAGCTCCGCCCTCTTTTAAAGAGGAGTGCAGTCTCATTTGCATTTAAAGCAACAGCTTCTAAAACACCACAATTAGGATCAAAGCCTGAAAGGGTCAGTTTCAGAGATTTGTAAAACACTATTTGTGTGTCTCTTTCTCTCTTTCTCTAAGGGTGCTTTCACACCTGCCTTATTTAGTTGGATTGAATCGCACTGGAGTTTGTTTCCCCTTTTGGTGCGGTTGGTTTGGGCAGGTCTGAATGCAGAAATCGTACTCGAGTGCGCACCAAAAGCGGACCAAATAACCGTACCGAGACCTGCTTGAAGAGGTGCTCTCGGTACGCTTTCAAACGAACCCTGGAGCGGCTCGTTTGTGGTGAGAATATGATCCGTACTAAAACAGGTCCAACCGCAAAAAGTACTGCGCCTTTTGGACTAATCCAGCTGCCGTAGGCCAATGAGCTGTGCATTATGGGATATGAAGGAAAAAATTTGTTGACAGCGCTTTACCAACAGAGAGAGAGAGAGAGAGAGAGAGAGAGAGAGAGAGAGAGAGAGAGAGAGGGGAAAACATTACCTGATGGATCGTTGGTAATATTTCCGCAACATGAGCATGTCACAGTTTAGCTGAATTAATTCACGCCTCCTCCTGAAGTGATGAGCGACACAT